TAAGAAAGACATGAGACCAGTCTTTGAAACAGGACAGCTCTAAATTGATGGATACTCCTTACATTGACAGATTGAAAACTAGCATCATGCAAAGTTTAATATTGAAAATATGGGGAAATGCTTTCAGCTCCATTCTAATTAAAAAAAAAAACAGTAGTAGGAAATCTAGTTAAAGAAATAAAAATGCAGCCTGGTTTGATGATGAATGCCGTAAAGCTAAAGCACATTTGAAGAAATTATATAGATCTCTTAAGATGTTACACTCATGCAAAATTAGAGGACTGTTTTTAATGGCTTGGAATTATGATAAACTGTTATTAAAAGACAAAGAAAAAAAACAAAGCTTGGGTCAATGGCAAAAACTAATAAATACAGCTAGAATCCTAACATCTTTTCATTTTGGCAACTGATTTCTCGAAATCTTAAGCCTAAATCTTCATCGACCCTAAGTATTCCTGTGAAGAGTGGGAACAGTTATTTTTAGAGCTATATAGAAAGTCTGATGCTGAGCCAGATTTGGAATTTGAAGTGAGTTATTCTTCTGTGTCTATATGGGATTCGGTCTCTCCAAGGGGAGTTAAACAATTGATGAAAGCACTAAAACCAGGAATCTCCCCCCTGAGCGTTTGAAAATCGCACCAGATTGGTGGGCCTCTTTGCTAGCTTCTTTATTTGCAAAGATGGATCAACAGCAAATGGGAAATATTATTTATTTATTTATTTATTTCGACTTATATTCTATGCTGCCCGCAAGCAGGCTCGGAGCAAATAATATCAGTAAAAGTTAAAAACATTCCACAGTAGAAATTAAAATGTAACATAAGAATAATTCAACACAATAGTTAAAACAGATTAAACCCGAACCATAAACCAGATGGTATGGCATTCAGTATAGTGGTCTCAGAGCTGGAGCCACTATGCCGTAGACAAGCTTGTTGGTCTTCACTTGATGGGCCAATCACAGATTCAGCAGGGGGAGGCCAATAGATGGAATGATTGGATACCCGCCACCTCAACCAAAGGCCTGGCGGAACAGTTCCATTTTACAGGCCCTTGTTGTTTGTTGTATAACTACTCTGGTTGCTGACTGTAACAGTAGATATTACTACTACCATTGAAAAGTGATAACTGTACATACTTCTGGCAATTATCTCTAATCCACCCTATTTTCAAAAAAAGTTCAAGGTTTGGTCCATCAAGCTATCATCCTATAAGTCTGTTGCCAATTTTTGGAATGCTATATGCAGTCCATCTACTGAAAAGGTTCCAAGATTGGATGGAAGAAGAAAATATTTAGGGCAAGAATGATAAAGTTTTAGAAAAGGCTTTTCTTGTGTTCACCATCTTTTTACCCTAGCATCTTTGTTTTATAAATATATTCAACCCACAGGTGGTTGTCTGTATGTGGCATTTGTAGATCTTAAGGCAGCTTTTGATGCAGCTTCCCATGCTTGCCTTTGGAATAAGTTAAATGTGACTACTATTCCAAAGAGATTACTGTATTTGATTATGAATGTATATACTGGAAATTCTCTTCAGGTTAGAGGCAGTCATACAGTAGGTTTGTTGAGCCCAGTTCCTATCAATAAGTGTTTGAGACAAGGATGTATATATCAGCTCCACATCTTTTCAGTCTTTATACCAATTATTTTGCACCTTTAGTTTATGAACATGCACATTCCTACATTAACTGGAACTCCTCTCCCCTTGTTATTGTATGCGGATAATTTAGTTCTGCTTGCGGGGACTCTTGTCAGTCTACACAGAGCTATAATTTATTTATTCAATATTGTTCACATGAAGCTTTGAGTATAAATTATGAAAAAAACTAAAAAAAAAATCAACTTCCAAGCAGACTAACATTGAGCCTTGGATTATATGTGGAAAACAAATTGAACAAGTGCGGCATTTTAAATATTTAGGTATTTGGTATAGTTTGAATGTGGACTGGTCTTTTCATATTATGTCCATGCCACCTTAAGTGGCCTCAAGCATTTTGTGCCTGGAACTTGAACTGTTAAATATCTTGACCATAATATGGAGGGCTACCTTTAAATTTTATGTGAGACTTTTAAAACTGGAGATGATTCCAACCCTTACAAAAATAACAGCCAAAGAACAGAGTTGGGAGAATCAGTTTTTAGGTGCTGAAGATAAGTTGATTCATCTGAACTGCTCTAGGTCAATTTTATAGAGTGAACAAGATGATAATTTTTTTAGATTGGTAAACAAAAAGCTTACTAGTTTTGATTGGAAGTTACTACTGAGAGGTGCAAATAGAAAATGCTCCCCATTGTGTATCGGGTCCCGATCACACACAGAAGTAGCCACGCGAGAGGCACGACTGCCGGGTGGATTTTAAGGGCGTGATCACACGGGAACATCTGGCAAGCGTGCCGCACCCGTCGGCAACCCTTCTCACTCTGCCGAAGACGCGGAGTTAAAAAATACCTGGGAAAGTGCAGTATCAAACAGGTTGCGATGGGCCGCAGATGGAGTTTCCCGTGTGATCGCTCCAGCGCACTCCGATTGCGTCACTGATCCCTCGATGAAGTGCGCCAGAAACACGCAGCGAAGAAAAAATCCTGATTCACCCACCGCTGCGTCTGATCACGCAGTGGTGGGTCAAATTACTGCGGCGCAAATAGGCACGCTTCTCCCCCGTGTTTTCCAGCACGTGTGACCAGGACCTTGGTTTGTCTTTTCCATGCTCTTTTACTCTTTCTAAACAGTTTTATTTCCTAATGCATAAATATAGAAGATTCTTTACTTTGGCATACTGTAATGCCCTCTTGACAGTGGAAACGGCAGGACAATACTTTAAAATACCAGTTATTAATTGCTTATGTACATGTGATACAAATCAGGTAGAGTTATTATTTTATGTTATGCTATATTGCCCTCTGTACAATAAATGGAGAGAGAAATATATCACCCCTTGAATAAGAAATTTAGATGAAAGATCTGATATCCAAAGGATATGTTTTCTTTTAAATTATTCATCGCAAAAGTTAACCATTGACATAGCGAAGTTTTTCTCAGTGGCCTTTTTTACAAGAGAGAAAAACTTCTCTCCTTAAAGTTAGCAGTTGGCCTTTTTGGCTAATAACCATTAGGAACTGGAAAGTGGGAAACTCAGTAACAAAAAGTGCAAAAACTACTTGACTAAGCTGTGCTGGGACAAGATTTGCCTTCCAAGAACAGGAGAGTCTGTCTGCATGCACCCTGGGAGGGGACCCTGCAAGGTAAGAAGCCAGGCCCACAAAGTTATTGTGTTTGCAGCTCCAAACAGGAGATGAGAGAGTTTCCTGCCAGTCATAAATTTGCACACTTCTTTGCCATTCCTGTCTAACATGGAGAGAGAGTGGCAGAGGTTGAGAGGTTCAGCTGGGACTGAAGGCAAGGCATGAGCTGCCCGTGGCCACCTCTAAATTAAGATGACGACGAGAGGAGATAAGTACTGAATCTGTAGACAGAATGTTGCCCTAGCTGCCGCTGTGTGATAAGATGAGACATCTTGTGCGTTGGTAGGCAAACCTTGTGCGTTGGTAGAAGTAATAGGTTTCTTCAGGGAACGGCATCATTTTCAGGAATGCTAATGAACCTTGGTTTGCTGGAAGATGAGAAGTGACAGAGAGGATGTTTCTGTAAATTGGCAAAGATCATGACAAAACATCAGAAATGTCTGAATACAGAAGTGGGATGTTTTCTAGCAGGATCTCAATTTATTTCACTGATAATAGAAAAAGGTACTGGTCATTGTTACAGTTTGTTCCTATCAGCATTGTACATTTGAAATGTTCGATCTGAAGAATGAATAAATTCATTACTGACGTGTGGCTCTTGTGTTTATAGTAGTACGGTAATTTAAAATGGATCATTTCCATTGTTGACTATCTTATTTTTTATTTCCAAAGTATTTAACTTGTAAATCCTAAAGGTGGATCTCTGGGGAGTTGCTGTACTGCCAGATAAGTAGATATAGGTTTGCTGTGGCATCATGATCCAGCACAGAAAGAGAAGTCATATGATGTGTTTTCAAATACTGGAATAAAGAAGAAAAGGAAGGGGTTGATCTTTTCCTAGGGGTGCCTGCTTTGCAACAGTCCAGGAATGGGAGGAGAAAGCAGCAAAGAGGGGGTGAAAACCACTAGTACAGATGGTGAAGCAAGGGGAAGGAATGATTCGTCCATTCTGTTGCCTTTAGGGCTACACTTGTGATTAACCAAAAGAAGAAAATAATTGGGAGATAATTCACCACAAGCAAATTCTACAGAAAACAGGGTCTTCAGGTGTTGTGGGAGCTATATTTCCTGCTGGGGTGGTTCAGAGAAATGAAAAACGCAGAGCCTCAGTTGTGCCCTTTCAATAATTGATTGTAAATGACAGGTAGCACAGCAAGATGGACGTGTCTTGTCTTGTCAAGCTTGCTTCTCACGGCTGCAAAATGACTTGAAGCCACTTTATTGTCTGTTGCAAGACACTATGCATATCTGTAGGATTGTGGTTTGTTGAAAAAAATTGCTACAATTGTGTAGTGTGACTAACAGCTGATTTTAACGTAATTAAAATTTCCTCTATATGCTGTGTGTGGTTTGCTTTGTAGGCTGAATAAGGAAGGGGTGGGTAAGGGAAGAAGTTTTCAAACTGATGGCCAAAACCTTGATTAACAGAAGAGAATATGCTAGAAAGGTTTTTGTTTGCCAAATTATACAGGTGGTTAAACATTTTGAAGCTTATATTTACTGTTATGCTGTGTAGCATTTTGGGTTACTAAGTGATATGAGTACGGGGATACTTGTTTTGAAATTTCCTTTGTTAATGATGTCATAATCTGTGTGAGGTTTTGGGAGTTAGCAGGAGAGATTGATGGCAAAGGTGATATAGTTGCATGGCAAATTCTACAGTTGCTGGAAGGAGCCCTATAATCAGGCATTAAAGGGTGTGTTAAGTTTGCATGCCATGGATATTAACTGTGGTACTTTTTCCCCTTATAATAGCAAAAACCCGTGCTGCTGACTTACTGGTGAATCCACTGGATCCAAGGAATGCAGATAAAATTAGAGTTAAAATTGCTGACCTTGGGAATGCTTGCTGGGTGGTAAGTGTCACCATTCTGAAAGTCTGTCCTTTTGTTGCATTACCCAGTTCTGAGTTTGTTCTCATTACTGTTGTCCTTCACTTTTCAGCATAAACACTTCACAGAAGACATCCAGACGCGGCAGTATAGATCCATAGAGGTTTTAATAGGAGCCGGTTACAGTACACCTGCTGATATCTGGAGCACAGCCTGCATGGTGAGCACAGCACCACACAGTTGCATTGCTTTGCCGTGCAATCAAAAATATTGTGATATAATTTTTGGCCACAATAGTTGTTAAACAGGAAAATATGTGAAGCTAACTCTTTTGAAAAAAGTGTTAATAACTCAAATGATTTACAGTTGTGGATTACAGACTTCTGGCATTAGCCAGAATCCGAAGAGCACTTTAGAGCCACCCTGTGGGATAGTTTTAAAATTTATTTTCTTTGAACAGCTGACCCCCCCTGTCCACAGCACAAGTGGCTTTTGAAGTTTCTCTTTTTTCTTGTGCTATGCTCGACAGTATCACATACACAGATGATGCAATATAAGTGACAAGAATGGTTTGGTGTGCAGTGTAGAGGTTGCTATTTGAGAAAAACTCATCAAAAAGCCCAGCTGGGTTTACAGAAGTAGCTGCATGTGTGTTTTATTTGTGACTGCATACAGTGATTGTATTATGTGAAAGCTTCCGAAGGGCTCGCTGTGTGGAATTTTTGCCACTGGGATTCTGTTTTATTTTGAACTAGGAAGAATGCCTGTTGTGGAACTGAAGACAACGGGGCGCTATCCTGGCCGCGAGTGCGGGTCGCCATCTCCATCTCCCCCCCCCCATGGCGAAGCTGGCCGTCCTGCCCCACTCAGTCGAGGCTCCGGCGGGCCAAGGCTTGAGGTGCCAGCGGGGAAACCGGCCAGGCTCGGCCCTCTTCCCGCAATGGGCGTGAGCCTGGCCGGACGCAGGGTGCCGCCCACTTCCCGCCCCCCCAACTCGGGGAAGCAGCCCGCATTCCCCCTCGCAGGGTCGAGGCCCCGGCGGGTCAAGGCGCCTGGGTTGGCCGCTCCCACCACCACCCCCGGCCAAGCGAGGCCCCAGCTGGGCAAGCAGACCGGGCTCGTCCATCTCCCTGCAGTGGCCGGCAGCTCAGACGGGCGTCTGCGG